AATAATATAGTTGGATTGAGACTTTTCTTTATCTTTGGAGCATCCATATTTTCTTTTCCTTTTTTTGAGACAGAGTCTTACTCTGTGGCACAGGCTGGAATGCAGTGGTGTGATTACAGCTTACTGCAGCCTGAAGCATCCAGGCTCAAGCAATCCTACCATAGCCTCCTGAGTAATGTATGCCACCATGCCTGGCTAATTTTTCTTTTTTTTCCTTTCTCTTTTGGCTTTGTAGAGATGGGGTTTCCCCATGTGGCCCAAGCTGGTCTCAAAACTCCTGGGCTGAAGGGATCCACCTGCCTTGGCCTCCCAAGGTGCTGGGACTACAGGTGTGAGTCACTGTGCCCAGCCTATATTTTCTTGACCAGTTTCTTATTACCTTAACTTAGAAATGATTATCGTTATGAATATTCTGTTGCATTATGTTTGAGGATGTTTTTAGCGATAGTGGGAATATGGGAAGTTTTGATAGAGATGAAGACATGGTCCCGCAGCTGAACAGCAGGATCATGGTTATCATGGAGCCTGTCGAGCCAGAATTTTTCCTTTTTGAGCACTTTTATTCATCTGGGTAGACTTTTGATATTATTTAAATTTAGAATACAGCAAGAAAAACAGGATAGAATTTATTTTATTTTACCAGTAAATATGAACTTCTGGTACACTCCTGTAAACGTATATGGTGTTTTATTGGATGCAGTTAAAAAATGAAAGTTAGAGTTGATGCTCAGAGTTTTTTCAGGGTCTTTTTAAAGTAAAAATTTCATCTTTTCACTTACAGGTAAAAAGCGCAGACTCGCCATTATTGAATGTGGGTGTGACATTAACATGATGGTTGATCTGGCTAAAGCAGCAGATCTGGTAAGTCGGCAGGGGCAGCCTGGGGTGCTGATGGAGACTTATAGCGTTGTGATAGGTTATTTACCCTGTGATGAAGGGAAGAGAGTTTTATGATTATTAAATGAATCATGGTCATCATCAGGGATACAGTAGATGTGACTGAACTGATGATGATAATAATAGTAATAAATGTTGTTATATTAATAATACAAATGGAACGTGCACAATGAAATGTATTCCAAAATCTAAAAGCAAATCACAGGGTGGAGAAAACCTTTAGTGAACACAGCTAATAACAGCACATTAACATGCATGCATATATACGTACAAATATATCATAGTAAGTACCATTTCTTCTTGGACCCTTTCTGGCACTGTGCTAACTGCTTTCTACAAATTTAACTTACATAAACCCTTGATACACCCTTGAGATGAGTAGGTATTATCTGTAGTTTACATAAGATGAAATAGAGCCTCCCAACAGTTAAGTAACTTGTGTGAAGATGGGACTCTTGTTCCTGATGGTTCTAGAACCTTCATCTTTAATGATAATAAGTAAGTACATGCATTGCCTGAAGAAGTGGTCAGAGTTTATCAATAGAAAATGTAGACAGTACTCAGTGTGTGGAAAATGTACACGCTCTTGCATTTATATAAATGATAATGTTCACTGTTCCTGATATTCTATTAACTATCTTTTAAATTAACAAAAATAAAATACAAATTAGCAAAAAAAAAAAAAAAAAAAAGTCCAGACGCAGTGGCTCATGCCTGTAATCCCAGCACTTTAGGAGGCTGAAGTGGGCAGATCACCAGAAGTTGGGAGTTTGAGACGAGCCTGACCAGCATGCAGAAACCCCGTCTCTGATAAAAATACAAAATTAGCTGGGTAAGGTGGTGCATGCCTGTAATCTCAGCTACATAGGAGACTGAGGCAGGAGAATTGCTTCAACCCGGGAGGCGGAGGTTGTGGTAAGTCGAGATTCTGCCATTGCATTCCAGCCTGGGCAACAAGAGGGAAATTCCATCTCAAAAAAAAAAGCAAAAAAATAAACCATATTGATTAGGAAGTGTAGGGTGACAGATACCTTGGCTTTTTCATTTTTATTTAGTTTTTTCTAGAGCTACATATTTTTATACTTTGGCCCAGGAAGACTCCTAAAATATAAAGTAAAAAGTAATACAGATTTTAAAGTTGTGCCATTATAATGTCAGAAAACTAAATAACATTCAAATTTTGAACATGTAACGCTACTATTAGTAAAAATAAGTGTAATTAATGTAAAGTTGTGTAAAGATTACTAAATCTTGTATACTTGAAATGATTGACTAGTTCATGGAAGTCATTTGTTTCTCTTTTATTTAAAATATAGCAAGTTTCTGATTTTAAAGACATACATATTAAGAGATGCCTTTACATTTTTTTATTTTTATTATTATGGATACATAATAGTTGTACATATTTATGGGGTACGTGTAGTATTTTGATAGAAGCATACAATGTGTGATGATCAAATCAGGGTAATTCAGATATCTGTCACTTCAAACATTTATCATTTCTTTGTGTTGGGAACATTTTAATTTATTCTTTTAGTTCTGAATTATATAATAAATTATAGTCACCCTAGTGTGCTGTTGGGCACTAGAATTTATTCTAACTGTATTTTTATACCTGTTAACCTTTCCCTCTTTGTCCCTCCCTCCCTGCTCCCCTTCCCAGCCTCTTAACCATCATTGAGAGAGATGCCTATGTAAATCTTTTTAAGATTTTCAAAAGGAGCACACACATTTGGTAAAGCACTCTAACTAATGCAGGGTACGCACAGTGCGCGTTTTCTCTTTCCTTACTCTAACTGCTGGTGTCTCAGGTCTCTGCAGAGCAGTATCCTTCTAGATACATATAAACACACATGCCACCCTTTAAAAACACAAATGGTAGCTTATTTTACACACTCCTCTATGCTTGGCTTTTTTCGTGTAACATATCTTGGAGGTATATAATCAGTAAGTACTGTAGGTCTGCCTCCTTTTTTTTTTTTTATTGTAATATTCCATTCTATGGATGCACCATAATTTATTTAGCCTAGCTTATGTTGATTGCTCTGCTCTGGGTTGTCAAAGCCTCCTGACTACAGCAAAGGCACACACAGTACGTGGATTTGGGTGTGTACGTGCGTGTGTGGATTAGGGGAGTAACACTGGCTTAGATGACAAAGATTGGCAGCTGAGGGACTGTTTGGTCCCTGTTCTTCCTGACCTTAAAATCAGCTGCTTGCCCCTTGGCACTCTGTGGCATCAGATGTAGTGTGAGGATTTTCCACCTGTTGTTTGAGCTGGTCCAGTGTTGCTGGAGAGCTCTGCTTGCTGCCTCGGTCTGCAGTGGCAGTTGTGCTTTCCTACAAGTCCAACTTCATATATTCTGTGGTTTCGGGTTTTGAATGTTTTCTAGTTTAATCAAAGATGGGCATTTCTGTTTCCATTTTGTGTTATTTTTGGTTATCCATGGAAGGATAAAAACAGAACTATCTTTAGTATTAAAACTAGAAGTTTCTAGGAATCAATTCTGAAATTTGCATCTTTGAAGTGTCTTAATTTTAAAAATTGGTCTTATCTGCTTTTATTTTCTTATAGACTATGATTCATCATAATATTACTGTTTTTTGACTTATTTCTAAACTGGTAGCTATTAAAAAAATTTCTGAGCAATTGAGTTATACAAATTAACGTACAAGATAGAGGTGTACATTGCATACTTCCCAGCAAAAAACAGATTTTTTTTT